TTCCCATCAAGGTCTCACATCGACTCTTAAAGTCTGTGTACATGAGTTCGATTCTTTTTTGGGGGGACCTATCACAATGAGTCCGACTAATATTTGCAAGAATTGCACCATAAATTTATCACCATCAGTCACTACAAACCATATAAATGATGTTGCAATCGACCCTAGCCTGTGGAGTTTCTTTGAAACTTACTGTGAATTGAATACATGTTACAACAAATTACAACTCAACTCCGATGTTTATATGCTTATAATCGAAGCACTCGTTGTGTCAGGCTTACCATAGTAGTCAAGCTCGACGAAAGTACCTCCCCCTTCTCCCTTGGCCAGTCTTCCCGGATTGACACAAATGCATTTTAACTGCTCTTTTTCTTCACCTCTTTCACCAATGGACAGTACCTGTACTCAAAAAGTACTTCTCTAGGTAAACATCTCAAAGTCGCAGAATGTCACACCCAATCTCTATTGGAGCGACGTGCACATTTCTGTACGATTTATTGGAATTGCTTTGACATTGAAATTGGAATAACCATTTACCTTCACAAAATACTTCACGTCAGAGGGTAGGATGAGAATATTTGGGATCAATGAGATGTTTAGAGCTTGAGGAGCAAGTGAAAAATCCAGTGGAATGTCTTCTGCTGGTGGATACAGAGGATAAAAGCTGCCCGAAAAATTGCAAAATATGTTTAGAATTTTAGATTGCAGAGCTCTTCTAACCATATAGACCTTAACAACTTCTAAGAAATTAGAGCGTGCCTGCGTTGGCTAATTATATGGTTTGCAAGTCTACTCAAGCGGTCACTGGGTTTTCCATCCTTCGGAACGTGTGAGATCTCCTCTGCACTAAGGTGTTTGAGAACATCCACAGAGCAGCAACCTATCTTGACCTGAAACCAGAATGTGGTAGATAAAATGTTGTCTAAATCTTATCATTTGGATTCTTATCAAGCCAACTAGAGCAAGGAATGAAAGATTTGTAACGTAGATACATAATATACAAATGGTCATGGATAGAGCTCAATCAAGTTACAGTTCATTTGTTTTGCCAATTCATCTTTGTTGGCCAAGCGTGTCTACGAAATTAGAATCCAAGCCTTTAGATAATAATACAATTCTGGACTACCAAACTGATAATTCTAGTATCAACAATCATTTGAGCAAAGTTACAGAGGTGGTCAGAATTTCAGGGCAAACGCTTGGTTACCTGATCTGCCTCGAAAATCCCTGGATTCGTGAGACTTTTTATCTGATTAAGAGTGGTAAAATCACTTTACTATGCATAACTGCAGAAATATTTAGGAACTTTGAATGACAAAAGCTCGAAATCTACAAACATGTACCTGATGCTTGAGATCAGGAGGGTGAATATCAAAGGCAGGCTGCACAACAAAGAAATGGTATCTCGAGATCACATTCTCTTATCATCTAAATGAATCGGAAGCAAATTGTGCCGTATATACTACATTGACTTGATTCAAAAGTAACATTACCTGAGGGAATACAAAATCATGGTTAGCATCCCGTATAGATGGTACAAGAACAATGCGCGCATGCGAACCTATGCATTCGACATGATCTTGCAACTGAAAGAATGATAAAAGGAAAAAAGGCATGAAAACCAACAGATGTGGATAGTTCTTCGGGATAACTACTACACAATGTTCTGAGTAGATACCCTTCTAAGAATTTCCGTTTGGAATATTTCATCAAAGCTCCTGTCGACGGTTCCTTTCTTAATTTCTGTATGTTCAGAATCAATAAATGGTCCTAGCTGCGGAAAAAAAAAAAAAAAAAAAAAAAAAAAAAATCTGTTTGTAAACAACATGAATGGTTCAAGCAGTAAAATCTTGTTAAAGAAAAATCCAGTTCAAGAAAAGTAGGTAGTCACCAATATAAGCAACTGAGGCAGCTTTTTGCTTGCATGTGCTAGAAGCTCTCTCAGAGGCTCAAACAATAAGTTGTCTGTTGTGGTAAAAGGGCCTGATGCGATGATCTGTTTAAATACAGAAATTAAATATTACCAACACTGATAAAGAATTTTGCACAGAATTATGGAAAGTTCAATCTTTTCACATCAATGATTAATAAGCCAATAATTTCCAGAGTTGCGTCTCATTGAGTAACATAGACTAAAACTTGCATACCACTGATAGCTCTGGTTGTTTACTGGAAAGTTCAGTTGGCAAAATCTCCTGATCCAAAGCCTGCTTTTTAGCAGGAGGCGAGTTTGCATCAGCAGCAACAGGTAGAGGGACTGAATCTACCAGTTTTGAAGCAATGAAGCAGTGTCCACTAGGATTGGTCCCTTCGACACCGATTATCTGCAGGAATGCAATCCTTCCATGTTAGATTTAGACTACACTACAGTACTTCAAAATTTAAAAATCTGAACATGGTTCTATGTCTTTCATGTTCCAATTTCCATACCTGGCCTGGAAAGATTGAAAATTGGCTCAAATTTTGTAATTCCATACGAACACGTTGACCTCCAGAATGCTCTGCGCTGCCAAAGATTGAAAAGGAAAGATAAAAAGTTTATCTAAAGAAAAAAGAAAATACGGATTACCAGAAGTCTTTCAGCTGTATGAAGTAAAACATAGGTAGTTGTGCTTCACATTTAACAAGTTCCCTCCAAGAAAGTGTTACCTGAGGGAAGGCTAAGATCCTCAGATACTATTGTTTAATAGCTAAACTTATTTAAGGAATGCTTTCCTTGTAGGGATGTTAGTATACTGTTTCACATGAATAGTATAAAGGAGAGTGCAAGACTTTCTACCTGCTCTGCAACAAGGTGGATTTGTCGTTCAAATGGCCCTCTCCGTCACAACAGACCATGCCAGCAGTAAATATAGTTTTCTGAAACAAAACAAGTTTACATCATAAACAGCCTCAAGATGACTCGGAGAAGATTGAGTTGCCAAAACATCTTCCCACCCTCAGGGGAGGGGGAGGTACCATACCTGAGACGAAACTGTAGGGTCCAGCGGTTCCTCATACTGCCCAGATGAAACTAATGCAGTCGCATACTTTCTAATTCGGTTTTCAAGTGCGTTAAACTAAAACAGAAAAGTCTTATGTTAGTGGACAATATATATGTGTGAGTGGAGATTAAGATCACCATACTATAATAATTTTCACTTACCCTATCTTCAATCCTATCATACATAAACCTACAACCTATTTCGGGTCCTGAACCATGGACTACGAAAGAACACCGCTTTCCAGGCTTAACCTTCCTGATAATTTCATCATCCTCATCATTCTCATTATCATGTTCCTTCTCCCCGTTCTCTATAGTTGGCTTATTATCAATGCCGAATTTCACAACAAACTTGTCTGTTCGTTGCCCAAAAGGAGTTACAAGTCTTGATGGTTTTCCAGAAGAAGGAACGTTCCCAATTGTTTGTGGTGTTGAGTCAGATGGCTCTGAGTAACGGTTCTGGGATTCGGATGGTGGAGTGCTAGGAACCTCTTCCTTTATATCTACATCCTCATCATTCAGAATCCTGCACACAGTTTCTCGTCAGATGCTGAACCTCAGAAACTAGAATCACACTAATCCCATATCCAAAAAAATTCATGCCACCAAAAACAAATTACAGATATAAAAAGGGAAAGTGAAAAAAGTGTGTGTGTGTGTGTGTATATATATATAGTGCTCACATGTCCGTGTGTGTGTGTGTGTGTGTGTATAGATATATATTGTGCTCACATATCCACATCTCTGCTTGAGTAGATATGCAGATTGGGCTCCTGTTCTTCAATGGCTACTTTCTTCTGCTCTTGCAAATACCCTAAAAACCCATCCATTTCCGCATCACATACCACCGTTCCATTCATTTGCCTGCCCAAAATAACATTTTATCCGATTATATTTGGCAACACATACAACTTATTCATCAAAAAAAAATTACTAACACAAATCTATGTACAAAATTAATCCCTTTATCCGGCGACCATAACAAAAACATATTATTAAAAAAAAAGCTATTTAAAGCTAAAAGCTATCCTCAGATACAAAATTGAATCATTCCAAACGTTGTAGTAAAAATCGTAAATTGGGGAAAATTGGGAGAGAAATGAACCTGTTTAGGTAGTAAATTTCCCAGCTCGTAACGAGATCAGAAGGCGAAAGATTGAAATTTATGCAGAATGTAGCACCTAATCAACAATTGAGGAATCAATATACACTCTTCTGTAAAATTAGGGATTGAATTCAATTGGGAACAAAAAAAAAGCGAAAGATCTTACATTTTTTGAGGATTTCCTTCTCGTCGTCGAAAGTGAAGCCGCTCCGGTGGAACTCATCTTTGATTTGGTCTTCCATGTGGCGCGTTCTGGTTCTGTCTCTCTCTCTCTCTCTCTCTCTCTCTCTCTCTCTCTAGGGTTTCAGAAGCTGCCACTCTGAGAGTTGCAGAGAAATGGCGGGAAGATTAAGATTTTTGGTGGGTAAACTGCTAACTAATTTACTATAATACCACTTTGTGGATTCTAACGCGTCAAGACTGCAAACGACCTGTCGTATGTGTCTTAGACGAATGTCTTCTTCCTTGCAATTCGGGGAAAAAAGCCCAAAAAATAACTGTACGCATTGGCAATAGTAAGCCCAACTATATTGACCCAAAAAAAGCCCAACTAGTTGAATAAACACTGAACTCTTCATAGAATAACGCTACACTTGCTATCTATTTGTACCATCATTTAAACTATCTCTCCAATAGAGGTAGGACCCACCAACACATATGGATCCCATCTTTATTGGAGAGTTGATACAAATAGATGGTAATAATACATTCATCTTCTATAATACATACGTTAATTACAAAGATGATTCCGCATTAATTGTCTTTAATTTAATAGTATATAAGAGAGGAATAAATCGTTTTCTTTCTCTTTATAGTTGTTTCCTCAATCATCTCTATTTGCTGAAGAATATTTTTATTTTTTTCAATTCAAATCAACGAAATTTATTTAAAAAGATAATCATGAATTTGAAATAAAAACCGCACAAACAATTAAAAACCTTACATCACTAATATAATATGATTATACAAATAAATGGTAAGTGCAACATTACTCATTATAGAAATATAATTTCCCACCGTGATTAGTGTAGGATTCCTACCTAAATAGGGATTTATGTAGCCCTGTATATTGTAATAGTTGACCCATATTAATACAAGAGTCATATTTCTACACATAACTTCTCCTGCTGCATATTCATTATTCTGCAATGCTTGCAGATCAAGTAATCTAATCCCTTTTCTTTTATCATTAGCATTGTGTTTACATAAATGACTAACGAATTAAACAATACTGTTGGACATGATCAGTGTGCAAGAACTCTAATCAAAGAGGAGGTCGCTCTTGTCTCAAATCCCATCGTGGCCGTCGGAGGGTACCAGAAGTCAATTAATCTACAAACGCCGAAGGGTTTGCCTTGATGGTCAAGCAACAACGATCATATCTGTCTAGGTTTGAGCTTTAAATATGAGGAGAGATGAATGTTTGTTGCATGTAAAACTGGCAATTTAAGAGAAGAATGTGTAGGTTTTCGATTGCAAGATGATACTCCGTAGGGCACCGATGGGTGCTAGAATCATCAAGGTAACTCCCAGTATAATGCAGGTCTGAAATGAATGAAGTGAGCGTTATGAATGAGCCTGAAGAACAAGTTATCGAAGCAAAAAAGCGCAACGTACCCAGTTTATGCACCAAGATAGACTGAAACGTCTCGGTTTGTAGATGGCGAGCCACATGATGCAGGGAAGCTGCAAATTAAGAACAGCATCGGAAGGTTAAGCTCTATTTGACATGTTATCAAAGGGTTGGTGCAAATTCACAAACTTGAGAAAGAATAAAGGGTATTCGTGTGTGTGTGTTTATGTAGGGCAAATGAGAGAAACGAATCCTTTAATTTTCTTACGAAGTATGTGGTTGGGGCGAAAGCAAATCCTCCAAAGAATCCGAGAAGGCCACCAAAGAAAGGGATGGCCATACCAATGACCATGGTAATTGCTGCCAAATTAAGAACATATTATATGGCATGTACTGATATATTAGCATGCAAATCAGGAAAAACACTCTGCAGTAGTGATGAGAATTGTAAGCTAACTCAATTCACGTACCAACATATATCGTGCGAGTAATAAAGCGAAGGGTGAAAGAAGGTGGGAAGTTCATTTTCTTGACCAGAAAAGTTTCAACCATGTCAAAAACTCCCATTGCGAAAACTTGGTAGCTTCCAATGACATGGATCACAACAAACATGTTAGCTGCTGCAATTAACCAGACAGGTTTTTCGAGTGAGATGAGGATGTTGTCTTCAACAGAGTTTCCGTACATATAGTAGCCAACAAAACAAACAGGGAAGTAGCACAAAGCCACCACAATGTATGCCACAATAACTCCTTTCCACATTGGTCCCTTGGAAGGCTTCTCGGGTGTGGAAGGAATCGTTGCTTGGATCTCCAAAACGACATTGTGGCCAGCGTAGGCAAATGCTATGTCTCCCAACCCACTAAAGAAGTTGAAGACAGCTCCGACATTGGATTTAGCTTTGTAGCTGTAGTCCACGTTCGGTACCTTCCCCTTGTGAATAGCAGCTCCCCACGCAATCGTTGAGTAACTGCATATGATCACAAATTAACAAGATCCAACACAAGAACGGTAAGAAATCGGATCACAAAAAAAAGTTTCCCTAAACATTAGTCACGGCCAAATGATCGTGCGCATTAGCGTTTGAATTAATCTACATACATACGAACAGGCAAAACACTGTCCACATCATTTTGATCTAAAATTTTGGGAATTTGGTTTGTAATTGGTCTCGATAGCATTACCTGGGAATCAAGAAATTTCTAGAATTTACGATACTAACTGAACGATTTAATTAATTACCTCAAGGACATGACTGCGGCAGCAAGCGAGATACCAGAGACGGAGTTTAAGTTGGGGAGATGGGAGAGAACAAAGTGGGCAGAAGCAAAAATTAAAATCCATAAGGTGAGTTTGATGTCTTTGCAGCTAGGGCAAATCACATCATGGACCTTCTTCAATGATTTTCCTCCTGTGACCATATAGACAATATTGACACCAACTTCCACAATTAGCTGTTGGGGCACAACGACCCAGAGCCCCAGCTTTTCCCCAAAGGCATGCTGTCCCAGCTCGTGGTACCGATCGAACCGCTTCCCCGGCACCATTTCATGCATCTCAACCATTTGCCATAGTGTGTATAGGGTGATGATCCATGACAGAAGCATGACAGCAATACCAGGACCCCTGTTTAATTTTGTTAGGAATCAACATTCGGTTTCAAATTGGCAGACAGAGATCATACACAAAAAAATTGTAACTTTGTAACATTCAATCTGGAATGCAGATGGCTAAACGAAGAATGCCAAAATCGCTACCCAATTATAATGGGTTTTAATTCTGAGATTTCTACTCAAATTATAGGAATGAAAGTCATGAAACAAAACAAAGGGTAGGGTAGTAATGTTCACACTCCCGTTTTCTCCTTTTGCACTCATTTGCTTGTTTCTGCCCCTTAATTTTCCTCTAATTTGTTCGGTTTGAAGGTTAGATGAAAAAAAAGGACAAGTGCAAAGGGAGGAAAAGAGGAGTGCAAAAATAACTTCCCATGAAACGAAAGTATAAACATATACATACCATCCAAGCTCAGCCATGGCATAGGGAAGGCTGAGGACACCAGCCCCAACCATGGCAGTGACATTGTGGAAAGCTGAGTACCACCATTTGGCATTCCTAGCAGAAGTGACCGGAAGCCAATCATCAATCTGCTTCTGCTTCTGCCTCGCCTCTTCAGCTTCCTTCAACGATTGTGTCATTCTCTCTCTCTCTCTCTCTTGAAACTCAACAATGGCAGAAAAAAGGGACGACGATGATAGTATAACTTACACAAAGCCAAGACCTTTGTTTATATACTGGTCAGGAGAAATGCAAGACTGCCAAAGATAGCAAAAGCGTTGGCCAAGTTAGGAAAATTAAAGCCGCCCGCTTAGGGGGGGAGTCTTTGCGCTGTATGACAGTTTGGAGAATTACCACCAAGCCCCTATTTTCTCACTCTTGACAACTTGGTTTATCCGTGACCTCCAGAGGGTCCAACTGTAAAATTACCTGTAAAAACCAACCCAAGTCCCTCCCCAGTCCAACGGTCTCCAAAGTCCTAGGGGGATTTGACCTCTGACGCCCTTCAAACATGGTTCAACGGGGACTCACGTCCTTCTCTTTAAGACAGGCTACCACATTTCTCTCTTTAGGGCTTCCCCCATCCACAAGCTTATCAGTTTCATTGTTTGGTTATCTTCTCTCTTTTTATTTATTTATTGTTACCATGATATTTTTTTTCAGGTAGGTTGAATCAACGATCTATCAGAATATGAAGCAATAACTTATCGTAATTTTAACCCCTCTTTCGTTTATATTTGGGAGTTAGGACATAACTTCTGTCCACGTGTCGTGTCGAGAGCGGACGTTGAGGTCCACATTGACATTGCATCCTCTCCTACTTGTAATTTAGAAATTTGGGTAACTGAAAAATGGGAAAATGAGAAGGAAATTGAATACTGCACGAAATTTCTTCTGGCAGAATATGTTATAAGAGGATAAAAAAAGTCGGCCATCTCAAATGGCACATGACTTGCTTGTTGCCATTTCTTGTCAAAACTTTCCCTACCAAGCTTTTTACGTGCACGATTTTCCTGATTGTTGGGACGGCAATACCACGCATTTCTGCGAAAAGGGCAGGTCTGCATTGTGGCCGGTGTATCGAGTACAGATCATGTCCCGGCAAACTAAGAAATAAACTTTGTGGACGGAAAAAATTCGGCGATATAAATGACTACGTAAAGATGACAAACATTTATCATGACATGCTTTCGTGTTTATGATAATCTGAGTTTTAAGTTGCAGAGAGCAGATCAGTTAGGTTATCTGATATCAAAGCTTTAGAGAGGTATGAATGACAAAGAAACGAATTCATAGCACCAGCAAATATATTCACGTCTCTAACCAAAATTTGGCATGAAAAGAAAAACGAACAGAAAACACGCAATGTGTGATTATTTAAGCATTTTATGGCCCTCTATATAAATTGGTCATCTGGAAGTCACTTGTGAAAGCTAACCAGAAAAGAGGGAGATTCATTTGACTACCATGCTGCTTAAATTCACACTCAACTGACTCAACCAATTTACAATCAGTGTGGACGAGCCAAAATTCACGTATGAGGATATGCAAAACAGTGTAACCCTATCATAACATTTCTTGAACATTATAGAGAAACTTTCACACCTGGTACGAGACTATGCATATATCCACAGAAATTATAAGACATGTGACGGGAACTAGGGGGAAAGGGAAAAGAAAGCAAGAAAAAGTGTATCGATAAAGAAAAGAAATTTTTGAGAACTCACCACAATTCTACTCTCTATAGGTCTAACCAAGAACACCAACTCCTTTGCACATCCTGATCAAGCAAATAAAGGACCGCAGTGTTTGTAATTCTGATTCGGCCAAGTGGAACTAATTGATTCGTTCATGTCCAGGCCTTGCGCGCCAACACACAAATATTGGTTTATTAACTTCTTATTGAAGGAATCATGTTTGAAGCTCGCTTGTGGATGTGGTGGTTTGCCATTTGAGCTAGAGGGTCCTGAAATGTCAACACCCTTCTCTTTGTCTATGAAAGTAGGGGAAGACATAGACGATCGTGACAGAGGACTTGTGTGTGATTCAGATGGAAAAGCTAAATGAGGCCTTGCCTGAATCACACCGTGTGATAAACCAGCAGTAAATTTCATTTTAGTGTATGGGCTCGGAAAGGAAACTGTCCTTTTGTTGTTTGGGAGGGAGGAAGATTTGGAATACATCTGCCGAAGTGGAATTGGATTGTCGTCCAAATCTACACAGGTGCTGAATGACTCAGAATCATTATCTCTTATGTCTATGCTAGATTCCCTTTTTCTTTCCTCCTCCGCCATTGAAGAAGAAACTTAAGGCGCCTTGCAGCATAAGTTACAGAACTTGACTTCTTATTGTTTACTGAGTTGGGTGAGCCAAACTGTCTTAGCTCACCTGAGAACGTGTTGAATTGCATGCTTGACTGATCGCAACTGGCATCAGAAGCATTGTCAATGCCTGTGTATAAGAATATCTCTGCATCGGGAATTCTGAAAGAGGTTCCCGGACTGCTCCCAATACCCTGCATTCTCAAATGGGAAACAAGGGCACTCCTTGCTTTACGGTCCTGACAATTAGAGATCCCTCCAGCTGAAACCAATTGCTTGATCAGAAGTTCCGAAGATGCTGACTTTGGCCTTTGCTTAAGAATATCTAGAGGGGTCATGCCGCCAGAATCACGGATGTTTAAATTAATTGATGGAACAGTCATGAGGAGTTCCACCAAATTAGATTGAATGTTCTCGGTTACAGCCATGTGAAGAGCAGTTCGTCCATCATTGTTCTTAACATTAACAACGTCCTGCATGTTCGCAGTATCACCACATACTAATTGCTTAATAAGCTCAATCTGTTTGTCCAGTCTCCGGAAACCAGGGCTTCTGAAACCAGCCACTGCCAAATGCAGAAAGGTATCTCCATAGTTGTTTGACAAAGTGGTTAATGAGGGAGATGCACGAATTAGGACCTCCACCACAGCCAAGTGACCCCTATAAGCGGCCACATGTAAAGCTGTGTTCCCTTGATTATCTACAATTGTGATGGTATCAAAGAATGCTATTAGATACTCAACCACCTGCACAACAGAATGATAAAACTTTTAACATTATAAGTAATATTTCAATGTTTAAAGGAGTATGAACGATATAAAAGGTTAAAATCTAACGAAGCAAGAAAATGGATTAAAAAGAATACAAAGAGACTTCCATTCAGTCAAGTTTTGGTGCCTGTGAGGCCGTTAAATTTGGTGAGCAGCCATCAATATGTTGAAGCCAAACTATTTATGAGTGGATGTTAAGGCCAAACTAACAATTAACCGTTTAACTGTTTATTCTAATTTAATTAAACCAATCCTCATTCCATTTCAGCAATACAACTCAAAACTAATAAGCAGTCACATAAACTGAAGAAATAAGTAAATAACTGAAGAAAAATCTCTTCCAACTTCTGTAAACCTCAATATCAGACCTAGCGTACCTTCAAGTACACAACATTCTACTAAACGATGCGAAAGTAACTGAATTCAATCGTCTAACAAACATATAGAACGAGACTCACCTCAACCTGACCTCTGCCAGAGGCTGTATGCAAGATGGTAGATCCCTGAGCATCTCTATAAACCAATACATCCTCACAGTCCCTAAGCAGGTCCCTCAAAATCTCCAAATTGCCACCTCTAGCAGCGGCATGAACCGCCCGGTTCATCATTTCCCACTTGAAATCCGATGTAATATCACCCAACCTCTCTTCCAATTCTCCATTGCTGAGACTAAACCTTGGCGACACAGAGAAATCAAGCAGCAGCCTGAAAACCTCAGAGTTCTTGCTCCTGGCTGCAGCATAGAATATGTCAGTGACTCCATACTCTCCTTCTCCAAAAACAAGAAGAGGGTCTCTGTCCAGCAACTCCCTGACAAACCCACATCCCCGGCTGAGGCGGCGGTGTAGAGAAGCCATCCGCCGTAGCCGGCCCTGACGAGAGAGTTGTGTCCACTCTGCATTTGGCACTCGTGGAGGAGCCTCTTGGCAACTTGTGACCGGCATTTGGCAACATCATCGAGCTGAGCCTCGTCGTCCAGACAGTTTCGAGGCGGCGGATACGGCGTAGTGAGGTCAGCTTGATGAGGAGATTAGTATCAAGGTGAAGAAGCTCACAGACCAAATCATATAAGCCATTGGCTGCTGCCCAATCGATTGGTGATGCATACCACCATTGGTCTCCCGTGCTCTCCCACCTCAGAGGGAAGTAAGATGGTGGCATTGTGACCCAAAAAATGGCTATCAAATACTCAAATACCAACTCTCAGAGGAATTTTGTCGAGCACATGGACTGCAAAATCCAAAACCCAGAATAACAGAGCACACAAAGCAAATCAGAGATGAGACATAAAGCGAAAGTGAAAAGGCCCAACAGGGTACGAAAGGAATTTGCTTTTTTAGTGGAAAGTTGCAGAAAGCTAAAGATCTAAGTTTTTCACTGGATGGAGGTATAAGAATCAATGCAACTGAGTTTGTTAAACCAAAAAAAAAGAAAAAAAAAAGATTGGAGAACGGACCCATCAACTGTATGAGAACGACATGCAGTTTTGGATCAAACCCAATAGATTTTAAGCTGAGAAATTGGTATTGGAGGACTGGGAGGGCAATATTAAGCAGGAAAGGCCACTGTCTGTTTCCACTTTCCAGATGAAGCTATGGAGGTGGAAAGATAAGCAGGGGAGACTTGGCCTTTTAGGAAAAGGAGAGAAGGAGAGGAGCCAATGAGTGAAGGTGGGGAGGAAAGTGAGAATTTTGGAAGATAATAACAAAACAAGAGGAAAATGACTTAGAGACAAAAGCATCGAAAGATAGAGATTCTTTTCGGTCCGTGGGGGCGCAGTGCAGATTGAGATTTGAAGTCACTTAGAGTGAGGGAGAGTTTTGTAAAGATTGCATAGGAGACCGGTGACGGACCAACTAGGCAGATCATTCATAGTTTTGAGTAATCTTTTATGAAGAGACAAAATGAAAATGATCGACGGTACTGGTTCCAGAAATTCGTTACTTTTTGTGTTAAGTTACTCGTTCATTTAAAACACGCATAGAAGATTGATCGATAATCTCTCGTGTGTATCTTAGACAGATAGATGAACTTAGCATAAGAACATATGTTTAAGAGTTTCTCGTGTTGGTTAAATTGGGTATTCTCATCCCTTAATTTAAGGGGCTTTTATTATTTTGGGTAACAACTAATAATGTTATTTCTTTTAGGAATTAGTGTAGTATACATGTGACAAAGAAAACCCTAATTATATTGGTATAAATACAAGTAGGGCAGAAGGGGGTCACGGTCACACCGACAGTGGGGGTTATCCTATGGTAGGGTTGACCTAATAATCTGGTGCATAAATGGGAAGTGGGTTGTAAATAGAGGACCTCCATGCTGGAATTCGTCCTTAAATTATATTTAAATGAGAATAAAAGGGCACGTGGACACGTTAATTATTTCATCTCTATGCTTGTTTAATGATCATCAAGACTACTAATTGAGCGTCTGAGTTACTTTTTATATTATCAATTGATTTTATGGTATAACTTTAATTTTTTTTTTTTTATCAGTTGTAGATACGTGTTGCTCAAATTGGTGAGCAAGCATGGCGACAAAAGGGGTCCCCTGATCCCTTAATGAATTTGTCTCTATTATGACAATAGTCTAGCCATGAAACATAATATTTGTAAATCCTCCGCATCGTTATAATCAACAAAACGCAAACAATAACATAGACTACAATTACATATCGAAATATCAACACAATATCGCTAACAAGATCCCAAAGTATGGGAAGGGGAAACATGAGCAATGAGGGAGAGCAAACATTAATGGAAGAAAATCATGACTACCAAAAAGGAGTGGGAGAGTAAAAGAAGGAGAGCAGGTAGACAAGGGTCAAATAAATACGAGTAAAAGAAGAGAGAATTAGTTAAGATTAAGTAGGTGGGCCATGTTGCATCGCTGCTCGCACATGGCTTGGTTCGTGGTTAGTAGATCGTAAATATCATTGGTTCACACAGAGAAACTGAGCTGATTCTCTGCAGAAATTCGTAATCTTTTATATGGTCACGTGATCCAATATCTCCAATGTTGCATCGCCATCGAACACACGGTGAAATATTCTTCAGGATAAGAACGACAAATGCAAGGCATCGTCGCTTGTCAAAATTTAGGAACGGAGTGCCCTACCACGACAGCAGGTTAGGTACAAATGAGCATACAACATTGCACTAATTGCGTGTTTATTAATTCGTAATCTGGAATTTAACAGAAAAAAAAAAAAAAAGAATTTGATTGACGAAGGTTCAGGATCCAGATTTCTATCAGAAGTACGCTAAACTACCTTTGGATTAAACTATTACGCCTGGGG